TGGCATTGGCCATGAGCCCAGGATTAAAAGCTTTTCTTGGCTACTGTGACCACAGGAATGATCAGGGAGGCTTTTTCTCCTTGGGTCTGATCAACAACTTGAATTGCTTGCATGCGAATTGGCCTGCACTTTCCTGCAAAAGGGCAGCAGCTGGAATCTCTGGCTCGGTTAAGGGGAAGATGGTAGGGTCCTGTGTTGTGTCTTTCCTTCCCTAAAGTCTGTCTGTCTTTTTCCTCTGCAGGTGTTTTCCTTCATGACCAGACCTTCATGATTAAGTGCCAACTGAACCAGAACCTTTTTTTTTATTTTCATAAGCTCTCATTTTAAAAAAATTAATTAAAATGGTCTGGTGTTTTGGCTCTGAGCCCCTTCTTCTTTATCTTGTAGAATCTAGCAGCCTTTGACCTCGCCCCTGTGCCAGTGGCCTTTAGCCTTGCCTGTATATAGTCTTTTTAAAGAAATATTCATACGGTTTTAAGTGGGAACCCGCCCCCACCCAAAAAATGGAAAAGGAAAGGGAAAGTGTTTTTGCTACTACCGGGCTTAAGCTAGCCCCAACTTCTCTAAGCAGGATTTTGATTAGATGTGATGCTGTATTGCAGCAAAGACTTTTCTAGGCATTAAGTGGCCACCCCCTTTCCATGTAGTTGCTGTTGGCTAACAGACATTGAAAGGAGGGGGACTGGCTATTGAATCAGGGCAAGGAAGGCAGCCATGCACAAACAAACTGTTTTATTGTGCTGCTGCTTGGAGGCATAAGAGAGTCTAATAAAAGGTACATTCAAATGTTCTGTGAGTGTGTGTTAATTAGGCAGGATGTCTTGAAAGTGTGAATTACTGTTTTATTTGCTGCTGCTGCTTCCCTGTCTTTCTCTGTCCTTCCTGGTAACCCAGATCTCTTCTAGTTCTGCGACCTCCACTTCTTTTGTTATCTGTGCAAGAGGTGACAGGAACAAGTTGTCTACCAGCCTCGTTTACCTCATCACTGCCACAGTGCCAGATAAATCCACCTATAGTTCTCATTTTGTGAAGCCTGTCCATGTCTTCACTTCCCTGCTTTTGCTGTCTTACCATCCAACCACAAGAAGGTGAAAGAGAGCCCTAAAAAGCACAAGGGCACAAACTTAACTTGTATTAACCTGAAAGTAGAGAAAAGCCAGCTAGCATGGTCAAGGATGATGGAGTTGTAGTCCAACAATGTAAAAAGGGCATCACACTGGTTACCTTTGCTATCTGTGGTAGGAGGTACCTTCACTGGGTCTTTGTGTTTAGATGCCACAGCCATGTGTTGGTGATACCTTTTTGTTGTTTTCCACAACTCTCCATGCCTGATGACATTCAAAGGCTTTTGCTAACTCTATTCCCTATTTCTTCTTAGAAATAAAATGACAGGTCATTCTCCTACCAGCTTTTGATGATAAAACCTGTAGATAGCATACGTTTATGTATACTGCTGGCATCCGTCTGTTGAGAGACAATGGAGTATGCCTTCAGTGGTGAAGTCAAACTGCTGCATTAACAGCACAGAAGTGACCTCCCTGGGGCGCGAGCCTGGGCAGTGTGTATGGAGGTCCTGGGCTTGCATCAATCAATCAATGTTTATTACGGAGCTCCTGGGCTGCCCAGACACCAGAGCTTTGGGAGGAGAGGCAGGAATGGAAGCAATATGCATCTAAATGTCTCTTTAATAAGTGATGTGACAAAACTGTAAAGGTAAAGGGACCCCTGACCATTAGGTCCAGTCGCGGATGACTCTAGGGTTGTAGCACTCATCTTGCTTTACTGACCGAGGGAGCTGGCGTTTGTCCGCAGACAGCTTCCGGGTCATGTGGCCAGCATGACAAAGCCACTTCCGGTGAACCAGAGCAGTGCACGGAAACGTCATTTACCTTCCCGCTGGAGCGGTACCTTTTATCTACTTGCACTTAACATGCTTTCGAACTGCTAGGTTGGCAGGAGCAGGGACCGAGCAACGGGAGCTCACCCCATAGCAGGGATTCAAACCGCCAACCTTCTGATCGGCAAGCCCTAGGTTTAGACCACAGCGCATCTTACTACTTGGGAAAATAGCTTAAAATGTTGTACCTAATTGGTAAAAAGAATTAATCTAGGTTCATGGAATTGTTGGCATCCGTCTGTCTCAAGAGATATGCCTCCAGGGATGAAGTCAAACCACTGCATTAGCAGCACTCCTGAGGTTGCAAGTCTGGGCAGTGTGTGTGTGGAGGTCCTGAGCTGCTCAGATGATACAACTGCCCTCTCGGCCTCACTGATGTCCAAAGGAAAGCAGAACAAAATGTTTGGCACCAACTTGGCTGCAGGAGTTGCTGGAAGGAAGTGTTCAAGGTGCCATCCAACCATTTTAGGGACTCTACTCCAGATTTTTGTAGAGTTTACTTCTTAGCCTTTTCTTCTCCTGAAGATATCCTATAAGGCAGTGGAGTTTTAGGATCAGAGTTTTCCTTCTAGATGGGCTACTTTTCCAGGTGGAGGAACCTCACATGCCCCACTTCCCTTTACAGCACATCCAGAAACCACTTTCTTGGCCATTGGACCCACTCTTCGTCTTGTCTGCTCAATCTGCCAGAGTGTCTCTTCACATGCAAGGAAAGTCCCTAAATCACTGAGGGTTTGAGACCCATCGGCTACCCTCCCCTGGTTTAGCTGGCAGTTAGCCATTCTAGGGGTGTGGCTGCTGTTGCATACTGACAGCTTCTTGAGCTGCAAGTGAGAGCTGAGTGCAAGATAGGGGGACCAAAAACGGGCAAACGACCCCTGAACGAGCACAATGTGTCCCCCTAGAGGTACTACCCCTCCCCTAACACCCCATTACTACATCAGCTGTATATAAACAACAGAAGAGGTTCCAGCCTCTGATTGGTTTCCCCAATTGCTTGCTGTTACTTTTTCTGTTTCAGTAAGCAAAAAATGTTGCTTGTTGGAGAATTTGCTGCTAGTGAGTCAAGGTGCTCAGCTGTGCAACAGATCTCAGTTAGGCCTTTTCCACTTCAAGGAGGCTCAGCCCAAACCCCAGAACTAAAAACTTGCATGCAGAAACTCTGGAGTCTCATTTCCTGGTGGCTGTGCTCCTGTCTTCCCTACAAAGCTGAGACTATACAGTCATACCTCGGGTTGAAGTAGCTTCGGGTTGAGCATTTTCGGGTTGCGCTCCGCGGCAACCCAGAAGTAACGGAATGCATTACATCTGGGTTTCACCGCTCGCCCATGCACAGGCGCTCAAAATGACATCATGCGCATGCACGGAAGCAGCGAATCACGACACGTGCAGACGCGGGTTGCGTTCTGCTCTGGATGCGAATGGGGCTCCAGAATGGATCCCGTTCGTATCCAGATTTACCACTGTACTACAATCCTTGTTCACAGGAGGGGGCTATCGGACTCAGAGACTTGCTCCCAAGCAGATGTGTTTTGGCTCTGCATCACTCTACACTTCTATCTCTCTGTCTTTTTTCCTGGAAGAAATCCACCCCTGCTGTTTATTACCAATTTGTAGTTGCTTGATTGACCGAACCCAAAGAGTACTCATTAACGGTTCCTTATCCTGGAAAAAAGTGACCAGTGGGGTGCTGCAGGGTTCTGTCCTGGGCTCGTTGTTGTTCAACATCTCTATTAATGACTTGGATGATGGAATTGGGGGGATGCTCATCAAATTCGCAGATGACACCAAACTGGGAGGGGTAGCTAATGCCGCAGAAAACAGAATAAGAATTCAAAATAACCTTAACAGATTGGAGAATTGGGCGCAAGCTAACAAAATGAATGGCAATAGGGACAAATGTTAGGTTCTGCACCTAGGCAGGAAGAACCAGCTGCACAAATAATAGGATTGGGGGGGGGGTTCACCTGGCTTACTAGCAGTACATGTGAAAAGGAGTCTTTGTAGGGGTCTTTGTAGGCCACTAGCTTATCATGATACAGCAGCAAAACAAAAACAAAAAAAACCTAACGTTGTTCTAAGTTGCATCAACAGAAGTATAGTGTCCAGATCAAGGGAAGTAATAGTACCACTCTATTCTGCCTTGGTCAGACAAACACCTGGAATACTGTGTCCAATTCTGGGCACCATAATTTAAGAAGAATGTTGACAAGCTAGAACGTGTGCAGAGGAGGGCAACCAAGATGATCAAGGGTAGACTAAAACTGATGAGGAAGGGTTGAAGGAGCTGGGTGTGTTTTGCCTGGAAAAGGAGACTGAGAGGAGATATGATAAAAGGTAAAGGTAAAGGTACCCCTGCCCGTACGGGCCAGTCTTGACAGACTCTAGGGTTGTGCGCCCATCTCACTCAAGAGGCCGGGGGCCAGCGCTGTCCGGAGACACGTGGCCAGCGTGACATCGCTGCTCTGGCGAGCCAGAGCCGCACACGGAAACGCCGTTTACCTTCCCGCTAGTAAGCGGTCCCTATTTATCTACTTGCACCCGGGGGTGCTTTCGAACTGCTAGGTTGGCAGGCGCTGGGACCGAGCAGCGGGAGCGCACCCCGCCGCGGGGATTCGAACCGCCGACCTTTCGATCGGCAAGCCCTAGGCGCTGAGGCTTTTACCCACAGCGCCACCCGCGTCCCTAGGAGATATGATAGCCATCTTCAAATACAGTATTGTAAGGGCTATCACATGGAAGAGGGAGCATGCTTGTCTCCTGCTTTTGTGGGTAGGACTTGAGGCAATGGCTTCAAGTTACAAGAAAGGAGATTCTGACTAAACATTTGGGAAAACTTTCTGACAGTGAGAGCTGTTTGTCAGTGGAACAGACTCCCAAGAGAGGTGGGGGACTCTCCTTCCTTGGAGGGCTTTAAACAGAGATTGGATGGCCATGTGTCATAGATGCTCTAGCTGAGATTTGTGCATTACAGGAGGTTGGACTAGATGACCCTTGAAGTCCCTTCCAAGATTCTATCACGTGGGGGCTGCGCGCACCCGGATATCGCGCGTGCGCCCAGCGCCCTGGAAGCGCCTTCCTCTTCCAGGTCATCTTTGAGGCGTCGCTGACGTCGTGGGGGCGGGACCGCGCGTGCGCCTCCTGCTCTCGGCTGCCGGTGAGGAGGAGGCCCGGCGGGCTCGGTTCCCTTCGCCGCTGGTGAGTGAGCGGGGCTGGAGGCGGGCCACGCGGTCGAGGCGAAACCCGGCGGCCCGGCGCCGCCTCTGCGCCCGCTCCCGGAGGAAGCCCCGAGGACCGCGTCCGCCGCCCAGGCGAGTCGAGGCTCCGCCGGCCACCGGGCGAGCGGGGCGGCTCCTGAGGGGACCCCCCTTGGCCCCGGGAGAGGCCGCGGTGCTTCCTCTGTGTGCTTCGGGTGCTGGAGAGGCCAGGCCTGCCGGGGGCGGCTCTCCTGTGCGGAGCTGGGGTGTTCCCACGGCGGGGGGGGGGGGGCGGGGGCGGGGTCCCCTTCTTGGTCTCTTTGCGAGGCCTCCCCTCTGGACACAGCGCCTTCTCTGCCATGGTGGTGATCTGCTGGGTGAAGAGCTCCATCATGGCCGGCCTCTTGGTAGTGAGAGAGCGGGTGTACGATAAAGTTTCGGGTGGGCTGAATCTTCATATGGAAGGGCTGCAGCTCCGCAGTAGAACCCAGGCTCTGTCTGCAAAAAGTTCCTGGTAAAGTCCTCTGTTCTCTCCAGGTAGGAGATACCCCAGAGAGCTGCAGCCAGTCAGTGTTGACAGCACTGAGCTAGATGGACCAACGGACTGTCTGGGTATAAAGCAGTTTCCTGCTCCTAGCTCAAGAGTGAAGGCTTATTTAAGCAAAAGGAGTTGTTTGGCATTTTCTGGGTCCTTAAGATTTGGATTCTGGCATAACAAACAATATGGTAATAGAAATTGGAATGGAAGGCTGGAGGAACTTGCTGGCTGTTGTCCTGCTTTGTGTTGGAGCATGCTGATCCACTAGTAGGCTCTGATCCACTAACCAGTATAAAAAACTGGCAGTGATCTACCACACACTCCCGTTGTCATCCTTCAACTTAAACATACTCTCCCCGCCTGCCCCTTAACATGTGTGTACTTGGTGTGTTTATTTTAGACCCCCTCAGGGCCAAACTGGTCTGTCTTGTGTGTCATATGCACGTGGGGTGCATGTGTGGAAGGAGGTGGCTAACTGGACATTAGGGGGGGGGAGTTTAAGGGAGGGGGACAAAAGGGAGGCAAAAGTTCTCTCTTTGAGGAGCCAGTTCTCTCCCTCCCTAAACACATCAACGTGAGTGGCAGAAATCAAGAGTGCCTTCCTCTCTCTAGCAGGGAAGGAGAGGCACTCCCCAGATCCCCAGCCAGGGGGAAGTCAGAGCCTCGAACAGTAGGAGTCCAATCATGTTATGCCCCTTGCCCCTAAGTTAGTACAGTGGTGCCTCGCAAGACGAAATTAATTCGTTCCGCAAGTCTCTTCGTCTTGCGAGTTTTTCGTCTTGCGATGCACGGTTTCCCATAGGAATGCATTGAAAATCAATGAATGCGTTCCTAGGGAAACCGCCTTCAGACCAGGTCCGGGGACAGTTTGTCCCCGGACCTCTTCTGAAGGCTGGGGGGGGGGGACAAGGGCTTTTCTTCCCACCCCCAGCATTTTAAAAAAACCCGGGACAGCGGAGGACTTCTCCGCTGTCCAGGGCGATCTTAAAATGCTGGCGGGCGGCATTTTAAAATCGCCCTGGGACAGCGGAGGAATTCTCCGCTGTCCGGGGCGATTTAAAAGCCCCTGGGAAGGCAGGCAGGGGGGACAAAGACGCTGTGTTTCTCCGCTCTCCCGGGAAGGCAGGCAGGGGGGAGCAAAGACTTTCGCCCCCCGCCTGCCTTCAGAAGAGGTCCAGGACCTCTTCTGAAGGCGGGCGGGGGGCGAAAGTCTATGCTCCCCCCTGCCTGCCTTCAAAAGCCGTCCGGGACAGCGGAGAAACGCGCTGCGTTTCTCCGCTCTCCCGGGAAGGCAGGCAGGGGGGAACAAAGACTTTCGCCCCCCGCCCGCCTTCAGAAGGTGTTCCCTCCCCGCCGCCCGGCTTCGGAGCATCGTTCCGAAGCCGGGAGGCGGGGGCAGGTGTTCCCGCCCCACCGCCCGGCTTCGGAGGAGCCTTCCGAAGCCCGGTGGCGGCGGGAGGAGGTGTTCCCGCCCCGCCGCCAGGCTTCGGAGGAGGTCCGATGACAGTGGGGAAGACGCGCTGCGCTTCCCCGCTGTCCCAGATATTTCCCTATGGGCTGTCGTCTTGCGAAGCAAGCCCATAGGGAAATTCATCTTGCGAAGCGCCTCCAAAATGGAAAACCCTTTCGTCTAGCGGGTTTTCCGTCTTGCGAGGCGTTCGTCTTGCGAGGTATCACTGTACCTGGCAGGAACACACACCCCCCTGCACACACCCAGACCCTCAGGGCTGGTAGCAACCCCCCCCCAAGCGCTCAAAGGGCAGCAGGAAGGATAGCAAGTCGGCACACACATACACCCCCCAGCCCTCAGGGCGCCGCGTCCCCCTCACCCCAGCGCTCTAACCCCCAAGAGTGCAGCACAGGGGCAGGAAGGCAAGCCGGCTTGGCACCGCTCAGGCTTGCGGTGCTGCTCAGGCTCGCATCGCCATGGAGACTGGCAGCGGCGGCAGCTACTGCCACTGCATCCGAGGCTGCAGAGAAAGGCCCTGCAATTGACAAGAAACAATCCCACGATTCACTGGTCGATCACAATCGACGTGTTGTGCGTGCCTGGAGTACCAAGTTCAGTTCATGGCATCTCCAGTTAAAATAACATTAAGATCCATAAGAACAGCTTACTGGATCAGGCTAATGATCCAGCATCCTGCTTTCCCAGCCAGATACCTTTGGAAGTCCACAAAGATCTAATTTAGACAAGAATTCCATTTTTTGAAGGAATCCTTCCTGCCTCTAATAGCTTTTTTGACTTTGCTCTGATGGTACATTTCCTGATCTGAGGTATAACCTTCAGCTGTGTTTTTAAATAATGTCCAAGTGTTTTGGTGTGATTTGATGCCCTTGACATTGCCTTTCAATTTACTTTTTACCAGGCCCCTCATTTTTATTTTTTTAGTTTCCTTTCTGAAGTCACATGTTATCAGGTTTATTTTCTTGGCAGTTGGTCATTTACATAGTATATTCAATTTAATAGTACTATGACCACTGCTTCCAACTGTTTTAGCAACACTTTCATCTTGGGCACCTTGGCACCACTTAAGATAAATCCAGGGTAAATCCATGACCAGCTGTGTTCTAGGGCATATTCATTTGGAGTACAGTGGTACCTTGGGTTGCATACGCTTCAGGTTACAGACTCTGCTAATCCAGAAATAGTACCTCGGGTTAAGAACTTTGCTTCAGGGTGAGAACAGAAATTGTGCTCCGGGCGCGCGGCGGCAGCGGGAGGCCCCATTAACTAAAGTGGTGCTTCGGGTTAAGAACAGTTTCAGGTTAAGAACGGACCTCCGGAACGAATTAAGTACTTAACCCGAGGTACCACTGTAATCAGAATTTTTTCCTCTTTGTCATGACTGAAATGCATATGTCACCAGTCTATATGATGGTAGTTGAAGTTACCCATTGTTTCACCATTCCCTCTTTTGATTGTTTCCTTCATTTCATTCATCATCTCAAGAACTCCTTGAACAGGGGGATGGTAGCATTTTCCTAGCACCAAGTTACTCTTAGGGCCCAGTATCATCATCCACAGTGTTTCTGTGGAGGAGAATTCCCTTTGGGGAATTTTGGCTTGCTGGGTCACATTGCCCTCTTTGATGTAAAGAGCAAATCCACCTCCAGTATGTGTCTCCCTAGAGTTCATATCCAGAGATAACATTATCCCACTGATTCTCTCCATTCCAATAGGTTTCCATTATACCAACTATATCAAGGCTAAGCTCAAAGACCAAGCAAACCACTTCACCCATCTTGGCACAGAGGCTCCTGGCATTAGCATATAAACACATACAGTGGTACCTCGGGATGCAAACGGGATCCGTTCCGAACCCTGTTCGCATCCCGAACAGAACATAAGATGTAACAGCACGTGTGCGCGGGTTGCGTTTCACCACTTCTGCGCATGCGTGTGACATCATTTTGACTGCGCATGTGCAAGCGGCGAAACCCGGAAGTAACACGTTCCGTTACTTCCGGGTTGCTGCGGAGCGCAGCCCGAAAGCGCTCAACCTGAAGTGTATTTATCCCGAGGTATGACTGTACAATGTTTCTCTTCTTGTGTTTTGGCCTGCAGTTCTTTCGCATCTCTGCCCCTGCACAGGCTGCACTCACAGTGTTTAGTTACATGCCTCCCACATTTAAATTTTCATTCAGTTTCTCCATTTTCATCCTAGAGAGTGATTGTTCTGAACTAGATTTTCTTCGGCTCCTCTTGGCTCCTCCTGTAATCAGTTTAAAAGCTGCTCTTCCACCTTTTTAATGTTCATTGTCAACAATCGAGTTCAAGTTGACTGCATCCCTCTTGCTCAGGTCCGTGGTGTCCGAGAATATCCCCCAGTACTTAACAAATTCAAACCCCTTCTCCCTACACTATTGTTTCATAATTCATGAAGTTATTTTGGAGGAAGCCATGTCAATTAAATTGTTTATGTATGCCTTGATGTAAAAAAACCTATAGCTAAACAAACAGATAACGAGTGACCACCAGAAATGTTAATGACAATTGAAGCATCTTGTTTGCCAATTTGTTTGACGTGAAGTAGGAATTCCTTTGTTGGTTTAAATAAAAGGTCATCTGCAAGGAAAGCAAATTCTGCCTCTACTATTTGGCCATAGTTTGATGCTTCTCAGCGGTGTTGGTTTTTAATGTTTCCAGACATGGCTTTCTTCATCTTTGTTCCTAATGTTTCAGTAGAGTGTGAGTCACATGACAACATCTGCTCAGCATAGTGAAAGCTGCAGCAAGCAAATAGTGCCTTGTATTGCTGCTTGAATTCTAGCAAGTGGGAGACATAAGCAGTGAAAGGTGACAAGCAATGTGCCATTGTTGAAAGTATCATTGATGTCATCCTCCTTCCCTCAAAGGGTTTTTTGGCTGCTTGTATGATCATCAGCTCATTTCCAAAACAGGTTTTGCTTTGTCCAGAGCCCTCTGTCGAAGAGCATACTTCTGCAGTTAAAAAAGAAAA